ATAGAATAGAATAGAATAGAATAGAATAGAATAGAATAGAATAGAATAGAATTCTTTATTGGCCAAGTGTGATTGGACATACAAGGAATTCTTCTTGGTGCAAATGCTCTCAGTGTACATAAAAGAAAAGATTCATTCGTCAAGAGTCAAGAATCATAACGTACAACACTTAATGATAGTCAGAGGATACAATAAGCAATCAAATCATACTAGGAAACCATCAATATAAATCGTAAGGGTGCAAGCGACAAAGTTACAGTCATACAATCATAAGTGGGAGGGGATGAGTGATAAGGAGTGACAAGAAGGTTAATAGTAATAGTAGTGCAGACTTTGTAAATAGTTGGATAGTGTTGAGGGAATTATTTGTTTAGCAGAGTGATGGCGTTCAGCAAAATAACTGTCCTTGTGTCTAGTTGTTCTGGTGTGCAGTGCTCTATAGCATCGTTTTGAGGGAAGGAGTTGAAACAGTTTATGTCCAGGATGTGAGGGGTCTGTAAATATTTTCACAGCCCTCTTTTTAACTTGTGCAGTATACAGGGCTCAGTTGAAGGCAGTTTGGTAGTAATTGTTTTTTAAGTTGATAAACTATTTGCAGGAAATAATGAACGGAATATGTCTCTACAAGTAAAACATGACATTTGTTCCACAACGTGTAACTTGCTGGCGGGGGATTCAAATTATGGCAGTCTTTTTGAGCTCCTGCATTCAGTAGAAGTTTCTGAAATATCTGGAAAAGCAGCACAATGTACAACCGACACATCATGTGATTGGCAAGCATTAATTGTACCAGCGCTGAACAATCTCAGGTTTGGTCAAGTTTTCTCTTGACCAGATTGTAACCTGGACCAAACCTAAAAACATGATGAATCTGCATACATGGGAATGCAGCTTTATTCAGCTTCAGTTCAGTCCCCCTTCAGATTACCAGGTTTCCCCACCCATAGTAGCCCTCGATTTACAACAGTCCATTTAGTGTCCGTTCAAAGTTACAACAGCAATAAAAAATGTGACTTATGACCATTTTTCGCACTTACAACCATTGCCGCATTCCTATGATGTCACATGATCAAAATTCGGGTGCTTGGCAACTGACTCGTATTTATGACGGTTGCAGTGTCCCGGTGTCATGTAATCCCCTTTTGTGACCTGACAAGCTAACTCAATGGAGAAGGCAGATGCCCTTAACAACCAGGTTATTAATGTAATGCCTGCAGTGCCTCACTTAACAACGGTGGCAAGAAAGGTAAAATGCAAAACTCACGTAACAAATGTATCACCTAGAAACATAAATTTTGAGCTCCATTGAGGGCATAAGTCGAGGACTACCTGTCCATAGTCTTATTTGGACCAAGCTTCTGTTCGGTTATTCCCTTTAATCCAAAATCCATGTCAAAGCACCCATTTTTCCTTTCTACTTACAGATTTATTTTGGAGCCATCTGAACATTTGTTTGGCATGCTGATTAGCAAGCTTACATTCTTCCCTTTTGGAAAAAAAATAGAAATTTCCACAAGCTATTTGATGGAAGAGGATATTTATTGCCAGAGAAAGCATCAACCTTTCCGTTAAATTCTACTTTTGGTTACACATTACTGGCAATTGCATGCCCACAGAAAGTAAATCATTCAGACAGGAATAATCCCATCTCTTAATGTTGGTTAGTCCATTGTATCGGTGTGAAATGACCAGTGAGCAGGAGTTACCTTGGGAAGTTAAAACACAGGAGGAATTGTAGCCAAGGAATGGATTAGAACTTTTGATCAAAGGGCTAAGAGACCATGCCAAAAGTCCCGCCAAAGGCAACCAAAGGGTATGTGGGAACATATCATAGATCAGGAAGACTTGTTGTAGGAAACCATTTTGCATTTCTTTACTTCTGTAAGTATTCGATGGGCCATCCAGAGCAAGTCTAGGATCTATTAGAACTAGTGGATGCTGAGGGTTTTTTTTTTTTTTTTTGGTTGTTACAAAGTTTTGGTTAAGTTGAATGCCTTTTAAGCAATAAAGCACTATATAAATACAAATTATAATGAGATTGAAAACTTACACTGTATAGTGAGTAGGACAGAAGCTCTGGGAGAGACATCCTAGAATGGGTAGATATACCTTTTCTGCCTCTCTGCCTTCCCATTCTAGATCAGGGATATCCCAACTTGCCCACAGTAAGACCTCTGGGCTTTAATTCCCAGTCGTGCTGGCTGGGGAATTCTGGGAGTTGAAGTCCAAAAGTCTTTAAAAAGTTACCCAGGTTGGGTACCTCTGCCCTAGATGATGGAAAATTCTTACCAGAAGGATGATTGAATAAAGCATTTTGGAAGACTATTCAAATTTATTGATTTCTCTTACACGGTATCATGTATATGCACATATATTAAAATATATGGCTAACAAACCCAAGCAAATTAGAACTCTGAGACTTGGCTCCTTCTCAAAGGTCTTATTTAATGAGTACATATCGGCACAGCTTCAATGGAAAACTAAATCTAATTTTTTCCTGCGGTTTCAATATAATTAAACTAAGAAATGTTGGCCAGTTGGGTTAATTGGTAGGCTCTTCAGGCACTCCTTCCTCAACCTTATCTATTGCCAGTAGAGATGACCTTGATTCTCAAGAGAAAGCTCTCTGTTGTGTCTAGTAAGACATTCCAACCTCCTTCCCCACTTCTTCTGTGTGGCAACTGAGGAACAGAAAAATGGCTGTGGCCAGGTTCAGTTTGAAGTTTACACACACACACACACACACACACACACACACACACAGTAGATCACTGCTTCCCCCCAACTTCACAAACCCAAGACCAGCAAGAGCAATCTACTTCAGTTAAACTTTCTTTAATGAGCAGTGATCATCATCATTTTAGCCATTGTCTATCCACTGCAGGACGAATGCTTCTTCTACATGTTTCCATCCTATATGGTCCTGAGTTTTCTTTTGCCAATTGGGCCTGCAATACTGTATATTGGCATCTGGAAATGTTTTATTATTTAATCTTTAAAGATGATTAAGGTGTCCAGATAGAAAATTTCCCTTAAGTATTGATGGATGGTAGAACTGTTTCTGTGAATCTAGTACTAAAACTAGGAATTTTAAGTTCTAAAACTTACTTGAACAGAATTGGCTTTTTAAGAAGTTTGATGTTACAAGAGGCATGTTATTGGATTGACACCAGAGTATAAAATATTACTAAGCTATTAAGCCAAAACAACCAGCCCACATTATAATAGTTGTTTCTTTGATAGAAAATGCATTTTGAAGCAAGTTGGATTTAAATGTTCTACTTTTCATATGTTTGGCTTATCTTGTTAACTGACCTAGTCTCTCTTTATCTCTCTTTCTCCTCCCTTCCCCCCTCCCCGGGCCCTCGGAATAGCTTTCACTCCCCGAGGAACAGAATGAAGTAACAAGAAATGGCTGTGAGTCCAAGGAGCTTGTCTACCTGGTACAAATCTCTTGCCAGGTAAATGATATGACCCTTCTTCCCTTGATTATATGAAAATGCATGAGCCAAATGATACTTGGCTGATTCTTTTTCTCCCTCGTTTCCCACTGTTTATAATACTTGAAGATAATATTGGGCTTCAGGAAACACCCAAGTAACTCAGATAAGAGGTAGAAATTAGATAAAGAAAGATCATTATTATCTGTAAGTAAAATATGAATATCCACAATTATAAGCATGCTAGTATAATTAATATGATCATAAGTGAGCTAATATAATTATAAATATGGTTATAATTATTACATGTATTATTATTACTATCAGTATATCTGTTATTTCCCCCCCTCTCTTTTGTAAAATTGAAATGCCTGGATAATATACTGTATTCCAAATACTTATATACAGTATAAATAAAAAACTTGACTTAACAAAAACAAAAAAAGGAGACAGCTGAGTAACTACCAAATTGGTTCAATTTATCCTGGAATCGCTTGGTTATTTTTTGTTGGACCTGCATACAATGAGAAATTCAATTAGGTTAAGGAGTATCCAGGAAGTGATGGTTCAGGCTTTACTCAAAATGTTTCTGCCACCCATGCTAACATATTAATAACTTGTACTATATGTGTTGAATACATGATCACCACTTACGACCTTCCCAGCTGGCTTCCGACAAACTCAACAGTGGAAGCTGGATTTGTTTAATACCCATATGATTCACTTAACAATCATGGCCAAAAAAAAATAAAATGTAAAATTGGGCATGACTCACTTAACACTTAACAATCACCTTATTTAACAACCGAAATGCTGGCTCCAAACTGTGGTCATAAGTCGAGGAATAACTGTAGTTATGCATGGCTCCCATATTCAGAAAGCCATCACTTGAGACAGGGAGGGTAAGTGGGTTTTATGATAAAATGATGATAAAAACCTCAAAGGAGCTTAATTGCAACCTTAAAAATGTATGTTTTTCCACAGTTCGTGCTAGAAGCAGAAAACAGCTTTAAAAGTTTAGAATTTTAATCTTTGTACCGCAGGGCAGAGAATTCAAGAATTTGTGCTAGGTTATAAGGGCCTTTGTGGATTTCAGCTGCAATATTCTTCATATCCCTGAGCTCAGACACTGAGATATACCTAGTGGCTAATTATAACAGGTCTTTTGAACTGTATTTCCAATTACAGAATATTCTTTCACCTACATTTTCATTTGCCAGAGTCTGACAGGTTGGGTTTTTTTAGTCCATCTCATCCTCTTAACACTTTTATTGCTATGAAATTTTCTCTCTCTCTCTCTTTTTTAAAGACTTTCTAAAGAGGACTGTTTTAAGCTCTGCTGATTTTAACAGAAATATGATTTTAATAGTTTTAGCTTATTAATTGTGGTGTTCTTTATCTATCTTGAATTTTATTTCTGTTCTTGTTATCAATAGTAAATGTTGGACAGTAACAAATACACATAATATGCAGTTATTGTCCACATCCGGAATACTGCATCCAGTTTTGTTCACCACATTACAAAAAAATATGTTGAGACTTTGGAAAAATTGCAGAGAAGAGCAACAAAGATGACTGAAGTCCTGGAGACTAAAGCATATGAAGAACAGTTGTAGGAACTGGGCATGGCTGGTCTAGAGAAAAAAAAGGACTAGATGGGACAAGATGGAGTGTTCCAGTATTTAAGGGACTGCCACAAAGAAGAGGGGGTCAACTTATTTTCCGAAGCACCAAAAGGCAAGACAAAAAACAATGGGTGGAAACTAATCAAGGAGAGATCCAACCTAGAATTAAGGAAATACTTCCCAAGAGTGAGAATAATTAACGAGTAGAATGGCTGGCCTCCAGAAGTTGTGGGTTCTTCATCACTGGAAGTTTTTAAGAAGAGACTGGACAGCCACTTGTCTGAAATTTTATAGGGTCTCCTGCCTGAGCAGGGAGCTGGACTAGAAGTCCTCGAAGATCCCTTCCATCTCTATCCTGATTGATTGATTGACTTCACTTGTGGCAAACTTAAATATTGCCTGTTCCCAGGTAGCCCTTTCCAAGCTCCCAGCAAATTTGATGGGTTACAGCCTACCTCCTCTTTTAGGAAGGAAAATCTGTGTGTGTTCAAGGCCCCTTTGCTAGGGCTCCTGTGTCGTCTGGCCTTGAACCAATGTTGTTGTTCCTAATAGAGACAAAGGTCGACATTCCCCAGTCAACGTGTATGCTGCTTTCGAAACAGTAATCTACACGAGGACAAAGAAGGACATGGCATTGACAAAGAGGAAATCAACATGGCTACTGAACATAAAGAAAAGTCTTGGGCTTGTTACCCTTATTTATAAAATCTGAAAAACCAAAATGTGCCCGTGGAAGACGGTCATTGGTTAAATCGGATCCAGAAATTAGCTTATTAGTTTGGCATCTATCCATGTACTTTTCAAAGGCCTCGGCAGCTTAGAAGCAATTTGTTGCAAATAAGAGGAGCATTGTAAAAAGCAAGAGAAATGAGTCATTCTAGCAATAGCCCGTTTGAAACTTCTGGACTGGAAAATTTGTTTCTTTCCCTTCACTGAGTAGCTCGCTGAATACACTTCAATTTATCAACTTTGTAAGCAGATAAGCAGACTTTAAAAAAAAAAAAAATCATGGCTTTCATACACTCTCCCTTAACATGGCCTACTTGAAATTCTCGGACTTTTAGTCCCACCAAATACCTGTGATTCAGAAACATCTTTCGTGCGGAGGGAGAGGAAAGAGTTCGTAATGAGTTTACCTCTTTTTTTTCTTTCTTTCTTCATGTTAACATGCTATTTTTAAGTTATCGATTTGAGGAGGATTTTTGACTAACAAAAGACAAGGTTGTTTTCCCACTCAATCGCCTAAGATTAGGTATGAGGGAGAAATTCTACTCCTTTTCCTGCTTTTCCTACGTATCACCTCATTCTATCACAACGGCCCTAGAGATAAACCGGTTAGAAGACTTTTAATCATCATCATCTCCTCCTCCGCTTCCACCATCACCCCACCACCACAAAATAATGATAAAAAGCAATGTTCGGGCTTTGCATTGGGTGATTAGATTGGATTGGAAAATGGTACAGTATGTGATTGTATACTGAAAACTGGGAAAGATAGCTTCTGTTAGGGAGAGAATAGTAAATAAATAGCTAAAAGGTAAATTTTGGATTTATTTATTAGATAAGCAAGCTTGCCATACTGGTTATTTCTCCTGTTGTCCTGATACAGCACGTCCGCTTTCTCAACAGATGAATCCACGGCGTATGAAAACACACAAAACATCGCGAGCACATCAGTTGTTTGTCTCATGCCTTTTATACCTTCTTTGCAGGGGCTGCACATTGAAAAAGCCTTTCTGTTACTTAGCTGATCTAAAACTTCAGGTCAGGCCTGCTTGTTAGATTTTACTTTCCTTGTTTTCAGCATGCTGAACAATGTTTTCAGCTTTGGTAATTGTAGCCATTTGTCCCAGCTTGGCTTTTCTCTCCCTTTAAGCCTGAAAAGATGTCAGGCAATTCCGTTGAGAGACTGGACAAAAGGCCGGCAATTACAGTTTCAGTGAGTGATGTACCTTGGCAGTTTTTTCTGTTTATCATGGAGCAAGGTGCTGTTTTAACTGTAAATCGGAGAGAAAGGTTACACCTAACTGAATACCCCTGACACATAGTATGGTAGGTGTGAAAGTAAAAGCCAAGTCTGCCTTCTTGGACTCCTAGTATAACTGCATGGATATGCCCAAGTTGTTGCTTTGGGGTCAGGAGAGAATGGTTCACTGTTGCTTTCTTTTTGGTAGTAGCTGTAAATGAACTCAAAATCCATTTCCAGTTTTATTCCCCTCTTCTATCAATGTGATACTAGATGTAAATAAACCACAGTCCCCAAGACAGTTCTTTCATGTGAAACTTCTTCCTTTCAAGTCTTTAAAGGAGCCCCGTCTTCATAAGTTCATAAGTTCTTCCTTCACTATTCATGAGGAGCTAACTGGCTATGGTTGAAAAAATGGCATGCACTTTATGGATGTGGTTAGGTGCAACTGTCAGATGGGAAAGATCAGGTCTACACAAAGGTCCAATTAAACTGATTTATTGCTAGTCATGCTTATGCACAGGAATCTTCTCAAGTAACGGTTAACACCTGCTTGGATTTAGATAAAGGTCAATGAAATTCAAAGGAGGTTAGTCTTCACTTGTGACTACGTTCTATTCTAGGCTGATCGCTGTTTTAACTCCGCCCCAGTTTCTGCTTTTCCATCTCCTACAGTGACCAACTATTTCCATCTAAAGACTTCCTACTATTTGATATTAGGTCACATTTTCACCCAGAGGTGCTTTTTTAATGCATTTGAGCCATGATTGCTAGAATTGCTAACATGTTCTTTTGTATGCCAATTCTCTGCTTAATTTAAATGGAGAATACTACCCTAGGAGAGGCTGTATTTAAATTATAGAAATGCTGAGAGGTATCAATCCAGATAGTTTTCAACTAAAGGTTTTAATGAATCATCCGTGGTAACATGAGGGAGTTATCAGTTCCCTATGGTTTTTTAACACTAACCGGAAAGTCTCCAGTGGCAGGTTTGAAAAAATCCTGTCTCAAATTTTTCCAGCAAAGTCTTCATATTATTGTGATAAAAACTTTTTTCTCACCCATAAAAAATCATTCCAATGCAATTGCTTATAAAGAACAGGAAAGCCTTGCTGATTAATATTATCTGGAGTATTCTCAGTGTGGCATACCTATTAGTCAGAAATGTTCTATTACTGTATCTTTCTTGAGTAACCTTGAGTAACCTGCTTACCACTCTGAAACAGTCATGCTCTTCGTCAAATAAATTTATCGGCACTGAGAAATTCTAAATAATTTCAGTATACATAGATGGAGGATGATATTAAACCAGTAAGTAACATATTTAACTGGAGATGCTGTCATGGAGAAAGGAGAAAACCTGTTCATTATATTGGTCGATGATTCACACCCACATCCACAAAAGAAATACAAATCCATTTCCTTAGCAGTTTTCTGTTTGGCTGTTAAGTATTTCAAATATAGTACCGCTAAGAATGCTGCATGCTATAGATTTATGTCTGGGTTTTGCACTCAATATTCTTACACCAGAATTGCCAGCACTTATCTCAGTCTCCTTCCCTCCCTCCCTCCCTGACCTATTGTACTTATATGTTTTACATGGAGATGTGACTGATAGCAAATTGTTTAAATTAAAAGTTTGTAAAGAGAGACTGGAATGTAATAAAGTGTTGAAAGCAGCAAATCTCTTTTCAAATAGACAGAGTCTTAAGCTGTATATTTTTCATCCTGCCATTCAGAAGGAGATTTAATCAAGAGAAATAGCCGAGCACTACAATTTTGAATGCTAGAAACCTCTTATTATTCTTCGGTTACCTGTTTATGTACCCTTTTTCCTTTTTCACACTTCTTAATCATAATTTGCCTCAGCAAACATATTATTCAGATACTTATCTGCCACTGAATGTGCTTCCAAAGGCCTGGCTTGAAAAATTAACACGAGGAAAGAAGGCATCCATATTTGGGAGTGGGATAAAATGCATTAGTAAAATACATCTACCTAAGAGACTTTGTGAGGTACTTTGTCATAGTTATTGCTGGTGTTAAATTGTTTTCCTGATTTGTTTGTTTGCTTTTTGGCTGTCTATACTATTCGACATGATTTGGAGTGTTTGAATTCAGAAGCTTTTTATGGCAGTATTTTAGTTTTCAAGAGCGATCACCTGTTGGAGATTGCATCTCCCCCAAACTATTGTTGATCAAGTCAGTCCTCATATTTCAGATGCAGAATAGTTTCTTCAGCTGCCATTAACATTTTAATTCTGATCTCAGAGACTCCAAGGAAGATGGCGCTTACCTTGTCATGTATTATTTTGGTGTCCTCTGTGGCCCTCTTGTCACTGAGTTTGAATAACTACTAAATATTCATGCCAACTTCCGTTCTAATATCTTAGCATTCAGAGAGGTACTTTTTTTAAAACTTCTGTTAAAAAGGGGTGTTGGAATTTATTTAATATGACATATGAAGGCAACCCAGCCCATCTTCTAATATTGTTGCTGTCATCATCACCATCACCACCACTCCTCCCTCATTCTAGCCGTTGTCTATCCACTGCAGGGAGGAAGGCCTCTTCTGCATGTTTCCAACCAATAGTCTTAGCTTTCTTTTGCCAGTTGGGCCTACAACACTTGCTGATGTTGTCACTCCATCTTGTTTTAGGTATCTTTTGTGGACACTTTTTATCAAGTGGAATTATTGTATGATTGCCTTGGCCCACCGGCCATCAGTTCTTCTTGTTATGTGACCAGTTCATTTCCATTTTCATTCTTTTACTCTTTTGATGGCGTGGTATATTTTCATTTGCTCTCTAATCCATGTGCAGATCCTTCTATCTTGTCTTGTGATGCTGTGCCATCTTTCCATGGCTCTTTGGGCCACTCATAGCTTTTGTATTGATTCGTTTTATATTGTTTTGTATTGGTTGTATAGTATTGTATTGATTGATTGAGGTTAGCATCCATGTTTTTCAGGCAGGTAGGATGCATTGATTGAAAACTTTTTTTTTCAGGCATGGGGGGGGGGGTTGTTCTTGAAAATTACACTTAACTTGCCATTCTAATATATTGGTGTTCATTGAAAGTACTATTACACCGTGACTTAAGGCATCTTAATCAGAGGTTGAAACTGATTAGCAAAGCCTGGTTGAGCGAAAAGATATGATTATTTGTGGAATGATGATAATGATGATAATAAGAGTCCTTGCACATTTATGAGTGAGTGAATTAAATGACATTGTAGGGTTTTTTTGGTTTTTTGGTCTGCAGGGCAAGAGCTGGATTGTGAAGAGGAGTTATGAAGACTTTAGAGTACTTGATAAACATCTTCATCTATGTATTTATGATCGACACTTTTCTCAGCTCTCAGAGCTACCCCGTTCTGATGCCCTGAAGGATAATCCGGAGGTAAAACAATGAAGTTTTGTTGCTAGCAGAAAAGTACTAGTTATGGAATAATATTTTTGGAGGGGAGGTATCTCTTTTCACTTAACCGTTTATTTATATCCTGCCTTTATTATCCTTTACAAAAAACTCAAGGCAGCAAATATACTTATATTCTCCATTTTCTCCTATTTTTCCCACAACAACAACCATAGAGAGAGGGGTTGGGCTAGAAGAGAGTGACTGGCCCAAAGTCACCCAGCCAGTTTTAATGCCTAAGATGGGAGTAGAACTTGCTGTCTTCTGATTTTAGCCTGGTGCCTCTGAATTCTATAGAGAAACATATATGTCTATGTCTATATCATCTATATCGATATCTATATCTATCATCTATCTATCTATATACATAGACGCAGAGAGAGGGCGGGAGGGAGGGAGGATGCCCTGCATAGGTAGAACTATCACATTTTTTCCTCATCCTTTGCAGCTTGTTACCCAGATGCTGATGGCTTACCTGTCCCGACTCTCAGCCATTGCTGGCAACAAGATAAATTGCGGTCCTGCTCTCACGTGGATGGAGGTACAAGAGCCCACTTCACCTTCTCCTCAGTTCATCAAATGCTTTGTATCTACTAGCAGCAGTTTGCCAGCAGCAAATTGAATGGAAATAGGGAAGGTTTCTACATTAGAAATTGCCAGTCGGGGCCTCTGCTCTTAGGCTACCCAAGATAAAAGCAGGAATAGGTCCTCATCCTTAGTTATATCAATCCTCCTGAATCTAGCCACCAACCAAAAATTCCTCTTCACTGAGATTACGACCCATATAGACTACCATGCTAGTCAAGTGTATGTTGGTAGATAGATGCTTTTCAGCTTCTCAGTCTGCAGTTGAGAATGAGCAGCTGAAAATTTTAAAGGCAGTGGTACAACCCCTTGCAGTAGTCTGGGTGAAGAGTAATTAGGGCATGAATCACTTAGCCAGGACCTCAGGTTCCAGGTAGAGCTGCATCTGGCACATGGCTGGACAACTCTGCCCCCTCCCAACCCCTGATTGCCCACTTGCCCATGTAGTAGTAGCTATGAGTCCAAGATGTCCTTCAGTTCACAGACCTGTTCTTTGAAAGGTAGCTGCCACCAAAAGGCAACCCTGGAGATGTCGGAAACGTCTTCCAAGAAAAACCAGAAAGTCCAGTCGCCACTTGAAAAAGCATCTTTTGGACTGTAGTGAACAGCTAACTTCCACTTGCAGGGGTTTAGCTATAGGTTGTTTTGCCCTGTGTAAACCCACATAGCCCCTAGAACCAAGTCAAGTTGATAGCACCTCTTGCACAGTTTAGGATAGCAGTGGATAATGTATTATGATATAGCTAAGCATACTAATCATGACTTCCTCAGTGGCTTAAGATAAATGTTAAAAAGTAGAAAAGAGAGGATGAAGCCTAGAGTATTCCAGAAAGCAGAGGCCAGCTAAACTGATGATTATTATTCCTCCTCCTCCTCCTCCTCCTCCTCCTCCTCCTCCTCCTCCCCCCCTCCAAGGAAGTAGTGAAACCCTATAAAATAGAACTCTTTCTGCAGAAGTTGGTTGTACTGCCACAGTGCCCATAGACTCCTTCTGCACTTTTTTTTCAGCAGGAAGCTGTTTTCCCCTGTTTTCTTTACAAATCAGCATGAAATCCTCCTCCATAAATTTGTTTATAAAATAAATTGCTTAAGGCTGCACGTCCTTGGCTTTCTCACCATCTACCTTGCATTACAGATTGATAATAAGGGGAATCGCCTCCTAGTACATGAGGAGTCATCCATTAATGTTCCTGCTATTGCAGCTGCTCATGTTATCAAGAGATACATTGCCCAGGCAGCAGATGAACTCTCCTTTGAGGTAAATAACAGGATAAATATATAATTATTTCCGTGCATTTTCTTCAACTAGCCAAAGAAGTTTTTAAAGGTCCTCTGGCAGCTTTCCGTGTTGCTTGTATAATTGCATATTCTGTTCTATTCTATTCTATTCTATTCTATTCTATTCTATTCTATTCTATTCTATTCTATTCTATTCTATTCTATTCTATTCTATTCTATTCTATTCTACCTTATGATTCTTGGCGAATGAATCTTTTCTTTTATGTACACTGAGAGAATTTGCACCAGTACGAATTCCTTGTGTGTCCAATCACACTTGGCCAATAAAGAATTCTAGTCTAGTCTAGTCTAGTCTAGTCTAGTCTAGTCTAGTCTAGTCTATATTCTATTCTATATTCTATTCTATTCTGTTTATTATATTATATTATATCATATTATATTATTTACATGTGTGTGTGTATGTGTACAGTACAGTACATTTTCTTACTATATTGTTAATTCGGTAAAATAAATTTGTCATTCTATCCTTAATTTTAAGAATGAAGACAGAGAAACTAGTAGATAAGGATCTATGGAGATTCTCAGTCATCCAGGTCATGGTTGTCTCAGGAGTGTTTTTTGTCCAAGCGGCAACTGGACTTTCTGGTTTTTCTTTGAAGACATTTCACTTCTTGCCCAAGGAGAAGCTTCTTGGATGTGGAGCAAAACGTCTTCAAAGAAAAACCAGAAAGTCCAGTTGCCGCTTGGAAAAACAAACAAACACACTGGGACAAATAGATAAGTAAGTGCAGATTTTTAAGTAGAGGTAATCCTTGACTTATGACCATAACTGAGGCTGGAAATTTGGTTGTAAATCATGCCGGTTATTAAGCAGGTCATCACTTGATGGACCTGAGGTGACATTTTTTGTAGCAGTCATTAAGCGAATCAATGTGACCATTAAGCAAACCCATTGTCTACAATGGGCATTTTTTGCAAGGAATCAGAAATGAACGCCGGTTTTCAGCAAAAAAACTGTAAATCGTGGTCACATGAAAGTGGGAAGCTGCCAACAGCCATAAATGCAGGCTAGTTGCTAGCCATAAATGCACCCTAGGTGTGATTACATGACCAGTTGGCCATGATTGGGGAATGTCTGTTAGAATTTAGAATCTAGGATGCAAGTACCTTTATTTGGCCCTTTGTAACTTTAAATAGTCACTAAGTAGCCAAGGACTACATTTAATTAGTTTGTTCAATATTCTTTCCTTACACACTTATATTTCCAAAGTGGCTATATTTTCAGTTTAACCAGCAGCCTGTTTGGGGTTTTAGCTGCTATTCTGCATTTTCTTTCTATGAACGAATAAAATGTTTACTGGGTAGCGCTCATAATGCATACCTAAATTCATACTTGCATATTTAATAGGCAAGAACCAGTGCTATTTCTTTTAAAGGAGTTTGTATTCCCAGCCCGATAAAGTAAATATATATATTTTTTTTATCAAACCAGATAGTGCTTTGAGTCACCATGAGAAAATATTTCATTCCTTAATTTCCAGGTTGGAGATATTGTTTCTGTTATTGATATGCCTCCGAAAGAATTGACCACTTGGTGGAGGGGGAAACATGGATTTCAGGTATGTCCAGCTATTAGGTTGGTTAATACGGCAGGCTCTAAAAGTTGTGGAGGATGGATACTCATTCTAAAAAAAATTACTCCCCAATATGTTTACAATGCATAATTTTTGGGGGGTGGGAGGAATAGAAAATCCTCCTGATCAATGCCAAGTTAAGAGAAAATGGAAGAGAATGAGAATTTATAATGTCTATCGAGATTCTCAGTCATCTAGATAAGAAGAAGAATAGAATAGAGCTGGAAGGGACCTTGGAGGTCTTCTAGTCCAGCCCCCTGCTCAAGCAGGAGCACCTATACCATCTCAGACAAGTGACTGTCTTGTCTCTTCTTAAAAACCTCCAGTAATGGAGCTCCCACGATTTCTGAAGACAAGCTGTTCCATTGGTTAATTGTCTTCACTGTTAGGAAGTTTCTCCTTAATTCTAGGTTGCTTCTCTGTTTGATTATTTTCCAACCATTGCTTCTCATCCTGCCCTCTGGTGCTTTGTAGAATAATTTGACCCCCTCTTCTTTGTGGCAGCCCCTCAAATACTGGAATACCGCTATCACGTCATCCCTAATTCTTCTTTACGTCACGGTTGTCATTTATTGAGATGCAACTGGACTTTCTTTGTTTTTCCTTGAAGACGCTTCACTTCTTCAGTTCTGATCAGCTTCTTGGATGAGAAGTGAAACGTCTTCAAGGAAAAACAAAGTCCAGTTGCCTCTTGAAAAAAACATTTTGGAGAATTCATAATGCTATTTTAGTCCTTTGAAACCTCTCAAAAATGTGGACACCTGATTTTTTTTTCTCTTTAAACCCCTTGTCTGATTTCACTGAACTCAAATCAAATGTGTAATTCTTGAAATAGTACTATGTCTTCGGAAGCTGTGGACAGGCAAAACAGCTAGAATAAAACGAAATCCAGGCTAGCAAACTCCTTCTCTATTCACATGTAAAACAGGGGAAGAATGTTCTTTTTATTAAAACTATCTTGCAAAATCATCTGGATGTGTTCTTATTCCATGATTCTGTTAAAATTGTTTAAATGGCCCGTGGATACAAGCTTCATTTTTTCTATCCTTGTATGTCACTATAGGTGGGATTCTTTCCTAGTGAATGTGTTGAACTAATTAACGACAAAGTCCCTCAGTCAGTGACCAATTCTGTACCAAAGCCAGGTATGTTTGTTTGCTTTTCAAGCAAATGTGCATAATATCACAAAATGCTGGTTTAAATTCTGTTCTCTTACAGTTTTTAGTATCTTTGCTATGTTATAAAGTTATTTCATTGCATTCACGATTCATCCATGCAAGCTTATTTCATTGTTTAGTTTGTGCTGGTCAAACCTTTCCATTTAAACTGATTTCTTTAATGTTTTGGGTGGGAAAAGAGATTTTTGGTAACCATTGTCTCAAATCATTGCTTGGTCATCATAAACAGATGCATCTCTCAGAGTTACTCTATAGAGGAAGTTAATTTCTTGCCAAGTAAGACAGATGCAAAATATAATTTGCCTTTTCTTCCATTGAATTTACTCCCTGCATTTCAGACTCAGAACTGATTCATTGCTGTGCCTGTTTTCCTCTTATTTCCTTCTTTTTATCTGCTAAAGAAACTCTGTTGGACTAAAACCCATTGCTTATTTTTATGAATTTATATGCTGACTTCCAAAATAATAATAAAAAGCCTCTGCCAAAATAAAATAAAATAAAACACCTACATGTTTTCAGGCTGTTTCCTAAAAGTCAACAATTAAACAGAAACACCCATGCTAATAATGAAGAGCATACAAGCAATAATTACCGAATGTAACTTCCAGTTTGTGTGTAAATGTCCTTTAGAAAGCAATAGAGTCAAATCTAATGTTTGATGAACCGTATTTCAGAAGTTGTTTTGACCTAGGACTGATTTTCCTTTGTGTAGTCGAATGTTGAATGAGTTATGGAATAAGGGAAGAATAAACATTATGTGTATCTTTTATCTTCCCAGTCTGTGAATGAGATAGGCATTTCTAAAATGTGATTAATAAATAAGATTTGCTTAAATTAGAGAGGATTTTTTTTGAAGCTTTACGTTAAGGAAAAATATTGAGGAACATATGCATTGTGAATCTTCTTTACAGTTTAATAACTAATTATATTGTGGTTGAGGTCAATTCAGGTGGTACTGTTGTCATCACTTTTTAGTTGCTTGTGCTTTCTCAGAAGGATCAGGAGGATTTTTGGTTTTAAGATATTCAGATACAACCGTTGCAAAGTATATTGTAAGATTAAACAGACATGAACATGAATCTTGTTTCATCATATACCCGAAGGCAGAATTATATTGATGGAAAATGAGAGTCAGCATATCAACATGGGTTCTCTCAAATAGACGAAGCAACAAATTAGCTGTGCTCCCTTCAATGCTAGCTTCACTCTGTGGTCACTGAAAACAAGTTCTCAAATGTTTTGGGGTTGCAAAACTTGTTAGTTCTGATTTTAAAGGATCGTCCAATTTGAGATACTTGGGATAAGAGTAGACTTAGATAAAGTCCAGAGCTTACTTTCTCTCCAAAACTTATTGCCTAATTCCAAATTGATTTGCAAAATCTTCTAGATCAGTCTGTTGCAATTTGGGTTAAGGATAAGGAATAGTAATTTCTTTTTTTTAACAATTGGCATAAAACTTCTTTCTGTGAAGGAAAATGCAATGTTCTCCCCCTCCTCCAAATATTTAAAATCAGGAGTGTAGGACTAAACATCTATGTTTTGGGGAAATGCTATACGTATTATTTATGATATTGAGTGGTTGTAATGATGTGTACCTTGTAATGTCTAAACGTGGCTGTGGCCTGTTCTTTGTGGTGTATAATTCCATTCTTAGTTGTATGAATCTGAATGACACCAGTCTGTTGAATAGTGCTATAAAAGAGAAAGATGGAACTGACGTTTCAGCTCTCCCTACTTTATAAAATCATGATATCAGGTATCTTCATCGTTTTATTGTTCTCTTCCGATTCCTTTTCTTTTGGTTGCCCTCCATATCATTCGGATTGGTTTTCATATCACTGCAGGTCTTTCAGAGATGCCATCAACTTCATGTGAATGTTTTGTTTGTTAGCTTAACCTCATGCTTTTCATCTCATTTTTACATGTGCTTTTCTGATGTTGCCTAGGAAGTGCTTTTATTAACATTTGAGATTCTACAAATAACATTTTAACAAAATAGAAGATGTGGATTGAAGTTGCTTGTCTAGGAAACACATGCTGTTAAAAAAAATCTCTTAATGTTTGTGCCTTTTCTAAGAACTTGAAAACATTGCTAATACTATTATGCAAATGGAATTCATCCTGGCAGCGCCTGGATAATGTAATCCTATTTTGTGGGATAAAGTACAATAGCACATGAATCTGATAGTTTTAACATGGCTTTTGTTTTAAATCTCTTTTTAAAATAATAGTTTTTAAAAGTGTAAGAGTTAATGATACCCCATTATAGCATATACAATAGAAATCAAGGTTACCTAGGCAACTTATACAGGACTAGGAAACTTGGCAGCCATTTTGAAACTATTGAATTGGTGGGTTCCAATTGTTCCACATGTTGTCCACAGCCATGGATAATATGTACCATTACAGATGCTTGCAAACGCTGGATTTCCTGAGATAGACACAGCACACGACAGGCTGCATATAAGCAGAGATCTGGTACATAAAATAATTCAAGCGGTCTCCATGAGCCAAGTGGTTGAACTGGCCCACAAGGAAGTCTGTGTTGATCTAATTGACTTTCATTGAACGTGAAAATGGTGATAGGAGCACAATTCAGTAAATGCAGTTTCTGAAAGCCAGGGATCATAAACCTTCCTTTCCAAAGAGTTTTAAAATTGTCCGAATGGAGAAGGAAAGCATATTTCAGATTAATAATACAATAGGCTCTCAAAGAGACTCTTTGTCTTTTTAGTTCCTAATTAATCCATTGAGCACGTACCAGCTTATAGGTTGGTGTTTGGTACTAAATAAACCTCTGTGAAATTCTTTGGCTATTTTTATAGCATCGTTCTGCGGCCAGCCAAGAGGTTATGTCAGGATAATGCTGGGATGGATGTATATATAAAGGAGACATAGTATTGTCATTCAAAATGCATCTGTGTTTTTTTGGTGGGGGTAGTGGGGTAGGGGTTTTATAAATTATTTTTTGCAGGTTTTGCAAATTGGGGATGGCTAGGGAGAGAGGGCTGCTTTCAAAAGCAGTGCCCCACTCAGGTTTATTTTAGTGTGGGAAACGATGCAAGTTGATAATTATTTCCACAATTACAAAAAAGATCTTCTGTGTCTCCTTGCACTGATGGCCAGTGGTTAGCCAGCTGCAGAATGGTAACTCATTCTCTAACTGAATCACTGTAAGTGTTTTGAAAGTAAATACACCCTAATTACAAAGTACTGCTGAATAATACAAACTTCCATTGATTTTCAGAAGAGGTTTGGGGCGTGTGCAAACAATTGTGGAAATCCTCAGCACATGCAGAATTAGGTTCCTGTGTAGCATTTAACTCTTTGCACAATGTTAAAGAAATGGGTGCATGTCTTTTGAAATGAAAATGTTTTATTTTTCCAGGTGGATGTTCCTGTTAATAATGTGTTTTCTTTTAAATTGTACTTTCCCAGTTTCCCCTGCCCCTGGAGCCCGTCCAGCATCCTGGAGCTACTTCCCCCCTTGTATGTTTTCATTTATTCTTTTTCCTTTTGTTTCATCATTTTTCTTATTTTCAGCTGAATTTGTAATTGCATTCATATGCAATGGTAAACCAGAAGGTCTGTTACCTCCCATTTGAGCTCTCAAGGACAAGTTCTGTCTTCGGTCATAGTTTATAAACCAGAAACCGTGCCATGTTCCTTTCTGGACAAAATAAAACCAAACATGAGAATTTGTTCTTACCTTTTTTACTCTGAGAATATCACAACAAACAGACCATGGAAAATGCTGTCTGGGATGATGTGAAAATGATTGATCAAGATACTTGCATTTGCTGTTTGTTCCTGAAAAAGTCAGAATTCTGGTATACTGTTGTATATTAATGTACTCAGTATTCGAGGAATGTGCAGTGACTTTTTAGTGTGATTTCCTTGTAATTTTTTTATTTCACAACTTGCGTTAAAATGAAATCTACAGTAGAAGGTAAATAAGGAAGAAGAAAAAAAAGAGCTTGAAACTAATTTTTAGGAGTAACTAAAATTGCTTACTATTTATTTATTACACAAGCAGTATTTGTAAAATAATATCCCAGAGTAAGAGATTGCATAATCTTAAAAGTGTATGCTTTGGAAAAATGTTGATTTTCCTACAGAGTTGCATTAAGGGTTATTTTTTGTGTGCGCACAGACTTACACATTTAGTGTTTTCTACAATTAATTCCTAGACTGAATTTTTGAATTGCATGGAACCAGAGAATGAGAATTACATAAGCATAACAGTATAGTATTAATAATTTTAATGACCATCTATAATACTTTTCTTCATTGTTAGTGTCTTTAGCAGTAGTGGAAGCACATCAGCTTTTTCCTACAAAACAACCTGTCACACAAGGAAAGCATTCCTGTGCAGTAAGATTAAATATTTTAATACTATTTATATTTATAATGGAGACATATTATACTCCAACATTACAGCAAAAAAAGGGTACAGAACAAGGAATGGCAAAATATATTGCCACCGAGTCTCCAAAGTATATCTGGAAGAGTACAGTTTCTTTCCCTCACTTTATTTGGACCTAGCCTTTTGGAGAAACCTACACAGATACGAGATGTGCTTTGAGAAATTTCATTTGGGGTAAAAGGAAAAGCAGTGGAAATTACAGCTTGCTGTTCTTTCTTGTGATATGATATAATCTTAGGGAGAAATAGAAAGCGTATATGACTTTCTGGCTTGCTTGGGCATAACATCATGGAGGACAGTTCAGCTGATTTTTCATTCCTTTCCGATATCCTTCATTAGACAGATAAACACACTTGCCATTCTCAGATATCACAGCATATGGCCCGAAAAATATTTTTTGTGTGTTCCATACTAGACTTGCTTTGCAGCAATATTTGTTCAACGAGTCTGTCAGTTTCATCACCACATACTTTGAGCATATGCTGTCAATTTTGTTCAGCATACTATTAATAAAACAAAACCATGGCAGCGGAGAAATTGG